AAGTTATCTCATCCTTCTCCTTAATGCTTGACATTAGCATATCAAACGCCATTCTTCCCCATGGAAACCGGAAAAACTCATCAATATCTTCAATCACCTCCGCATGCTCTCTCAAAATCTTCATTTTAAGATTTGTTGATAGAAGTACAGAGGATAAGAGTGCGAGACATGCAATCTTAATCCGAATATTTTTATCCTCAACCGTTTTCTTTCGCAACATCTTCACTGCTGATTTTACGGTAACAACTTCTAATTTCCCAAATAGAGTTGCCCAGTATGGCTTCTCATTCACATTTGCCTTCATCTTCAATTTGGATTTCTTAGGATATTTACCACATTGAAGCCCTGTAACTATAGCAAACTCTCGCAACGAAAATCTTATGGGACTACCAGCAAACCGGAACCACACTTCATGCTTCTTATTTACTTTCATTTGGCGAGATAATAAATACCTTATAAATCTTCCCGAAAATGCATGTTTCTCAGCAACTTCAACAAGCTTCCCAAACGCTGATTCCCGAATCCTCTGAACCTCATCTTCGTCAAGAGCATTCAAAATAAAGTGTATGGCTCTAGAAGATTGGTAAGTTAGCACCCTAACCCCAACAGGTTCTTCACCATGTGCGAACATCATTTCCGGAATCGCCAAATTATCGCCGGATTCAGGTGGATCAGGTATGTCGACGATCTTCGAAGCCACCATTTTTCTGGAAAAATTACTTTATGCTTTCAGATCTACACATAAATCNTGTGCGAACATCATTTCCGGAATCGCCAAATTATCGCCGGATTCAGGTGGATCAGGTATGTCGACGATCTTCGAAGCCACCATTTTTCTGGAAAAATTACTTTATGCTTTCAGATCTACACATAAATCGACTTTTATTGCTTTTTCTCTTCCTGGAAGAGAGAAGGTTTACTTAAAACTTCCGTTTCTTGCAGTCTTTTCCTGTATAAAACATTTCTTTATCTTTACAAATACACATAATTACTTAGGCGCGTGTATGATGTAAAATTATATATCTCGTCAGACGTAGCCTTTGCTAGACTTAGGGGCATCGGTGGTATTATTCAAAATGTAACAGTGCTTTTCCATATACCTAATATATTATGTTTCTATAGTTATCTGATGCAAATTCCCTATGAATAATATAAATGTGAAGTAAAAAGAAGAATGGTTTGAGTTGTTTTCTATGCATGGAAATCTACCATATCAGAATTGAGATGGCACTATATCGATTGTCATTGAAGTTACCGAAAATCTGTGGATCTGTATGATGTGTTTTTTAAGCATTAGGTGTGTATATTCTGAGATGAAAATCATAACATATCAGAACTGAAATTTTGATTAATATTGTATTTGTGAAAGGGTGCTAACATTAGTATTTTTACTATGTGTAGGTGGCCAAGCATCGAAGTTAACTAACTGGCTTATATACGTCACTTTACAATTTGTGAGTGTGAAAAAGAATAGAGTAAATTGTAGGTGCGTATACATTAGAGAGTGAATAACATAGTGGTTACTGGTTAGTATTTAGTATTATAGACGAAACACGATTCTATCACACTTGTGTCTTAATTATGAATTCAACAATAAAATAAAAATTAAATATTTTAAATAATATATAGAGAATTACAAAGCGTAATAATGATGTTGAAACATATGATGATAATGTGAGTTTAGATATTCCGATGGGAATATTTTTCATTTTCTACTCTCAGATATAATTGCAAATCCTGAAATCCCTGAAAAAGACTGGTACAGTATTAAGAAAAGGAAAGAGGGTCCACAGCTTCTGAAATTATTGTAACCGTTCTTACCCACTTCGCGACTTAGAATTATTGCAATTAAATAATCTAGAGTATGTAAAATGCTTGTGTTTCCAAAAAAGAATATAATTAGACTTTGTATTGTGTAATGCGACATCAAAAATAATAAAAGTATTATATTGTCATAATGGATTACCTTGTGGTTGACAAAAAAATGGATTACTTGGTGCCCCCACATGAATGATTGCAATACATTTACAAATCGATCGGTATGGTTTAACCGTTTACAAGAGAACTAATTTTAAACCACAACACTATACTTTTATGGAAACAAAGTTAGGTCCATGTAGAAAGTTGGTCTCTGGCTTCAACTAAATTTTATTTTCTAACCAAACGAGCTTAACTTAATCTTTCCATTTCAAAGATCAACATAAACATTACCTTGTGACCTTAGACCATCTCTAATATATTTATTTATTATTATTTCTAAAATAAAAGAATTCTATAATAAAGAAAAATTTATCTTAAGTGTATTTCTCTGTTTTTCTTCTACAAGAGAAATATTCTTGATATATTCATCTTATTTTTACAAATTATACATTTTCTTTATCAAAGTTGAGAATTAAACCCATTTATTTTGACATTTTTAAATTTATGATATTATTTAAACTAAACATTTTATAAAAAATATTATGTAAATAAAAATATTCTTTATTTATATAAAATGTATATTTCACTAAAAAGTATTTATTTTTGGTTATAATTATTAAAATAAAAAGGTAAAGTACTATTTTGTAAATAAAAAATATTTCTTTATTATAGAAAATGCTACTTATTCCTCTGAAAATAGAGGTGAAAATAATAGTTTCTATGTTAAAAAAACAAAATAAATGTGAGTTGGAGTGAATTTCCTTTATTATAACATTCATAATAAAAATAACTATAAATTGGAGATGCTTTTAGAACATATCATCAAGAAAAATCTTTGAGTATTTTAATAAAAAAATGAAAACTAAATAAAATTATAAACGAGAAACAAAAAAATCTCATACAAGATTTTATTAGAATTATCTTTATTAAAAATATTATAAGATATAAATAATATAACTTAACAGGTTTTGAAAGTTATAAGAAACTTACCTAAAATATGTTTTTGAGATATTTTAAATTGAGTTTTTCATAATTTAAAATACTTCTAATTAAATTTTAATTATTTCATATACATAAATTTATACTTGGATAGAGAATTGCATAAAGAGAAATTTTTATTGGAATCGCTTTTAGATATTAATTAAACCTACTTTTACTTTCGTCACATTTTTAGTTATAACTGGCTTTATTTTATTTTTAAATTAGTAAAACATAATTCAGTAGATCAGATGTATTAAATATAAGTACTTTATTAGTAGAAAATCCCAGTTGAGGTAGTTTACCAATAGAGTTGCTTTTTTCTTATTGTGTTTAGTTTAGTCTATTTAGATTTTGTATACAATGAGACAAACTTTCACTGTAAATACTGAAGGAACATTTTCAACAAAAGATATAAAACTGAAGAAACATGTAGATAAAGTTTAAAAATGAATAAAGACAAAAATATCATGCTTTTATATGAAATCATAAATTAACTAAAAATTCTGAGAATAGAGATTTGGCAGAACTATTCAGAAAATCCAAATGGAAAATGCGTGAACATATATTTTACTTATATTGATCTTTTTATTTTTTTTACGGGGTTAAGTCCAAATTCAAGTTTGGATATTTTTTGCTCAATTTTGTTTGTAATTACATCATACTTGCTATATTTATTTATATATAAGAAAATCATATATGATGCAGCAAGAAACTTATGTCACTGACATAAGAAATTAAGTAGATAATCTTAAGAAGTAATAAAAACAAAATATAATACAGTAAGGGAATATCACACTATTGAAACGAACAGCTCTCGCACCCCACGGCTATCAAGATTAAAAAACCACGAGCTTCTTCTACTTTCTTCCGCAATGCTGCCGTCATCGTAAAATAATAACTAATATAGTATAAATTCTGATAACCTGTACTATATTTTATTTTATTGTTTCTGACACTCTGATAAATGCTTTGTTTTCTTATTCCACTAATAAATTTGATTACAGTGTTTATGAAAAATGTGATTTAGAGTTGTCATAAATCTTCTGTTCCTTTTGCACCAACATGTTATTAAACAGAGTCCACATATTATTTCAAGAACCTATAAAAGCAAAATGTTTAACTGCACTTGTCTTAATCGTTTGGAGTTTCCAAGTTGCATTTTAACAACATTATAATTGTATTTTTAAATGATTATTTGTAAGATTTACAGATAAAATTGCTCTTATAAAGCAAAACAGATTTTTTATAGATTTTGTTTACTTTAGTCTACTTTGATTTAGTTTACAGTGACAAACTTTCAATGTTAAATGAAAAAAACCAATCCGAACCTAACCTGAAAATAATTCTCCAAAAAGGTAAGATAAATATATATACATATGGTGTTGCGACTAGTGTTGCCGGTTCAAGCGTTCTTTGTTCAAGTGCTACTCCAGTTTTGTGTATATGTATTGCTCTTGATTACGTATGCTATTTAACACTGTTTTTCTTTTTCTTTTGGTAGCAAAATATGGTATTCATTATAATTTTACAAAAGGCTTTTAAAACTTAATCATGAAAATTGTCCTCAAAGAAAAAAAATAATCATGAAAATAATATTAGACTACAAAGCGCACAAAAATATAGTTATGTGTTCAAGTAAAAGTATAATCTAAAAAGTAGAATAATATTTTTTATTTGTTATACTCTTTTCAAACAGTGTATTGGCTGTTTTTGTTTATCCACTGACACAATGTATTTCCTAGTCAGTTACATGCAATATAAATGGAGAAAGAAAGAGATTTATGCTTAAATTAAGGGGTGAAGATCTAATTTGAGACCTGTTTTGTCTAATTGTTTCTCAAATGCTAAATAAGACACTTCCATTACTAATTACTAATCATAATTCAGTAAAAATGTACATCTCTTACCCTTTGAAAAGGAAAAAAGAGAGTTAAGAGGTCAAAAAAGAAAAAAAAAAAGATATTCTACGTTATATTTATATATGATTTCCTCTCATTTTTTCTTTTGTTTTCTTTATTTGGCAACTTTCCTCGTTTTTTTCTTAAAGTCTTAACTAGGAAATTAGGAAAATTAAAAAAAAAAAAATTCAAAAATCATTTCTAGGGATTCTCCTTGAACAGTGAAGCTAACCCCGTGACGACCTTAGCTTCTCTCTCCACCGCCTCCGCCACGTCACCACCTCCGGCAACCGACTCAACAGTCGACGAAGAAGAATTCACCGACGCCAAAAATTTCTCCTCGAAACTCAGCTCAATCTCCTTACGATCCATCTCCGCCGCTTCATCCACGACGGTGGAGGAAGAAGAAACCACCGCCTCCGGGGAGTTCCGTGTGTACGAAGACATCCACTTAGCTCGCATGTACTCACCTTTCCTCCACGGTGGAAAATGCATACCTTTCTTCTTCAAGCTCTGTTTCGCCGCTTCAGACACCATCGTAACGATCTGACTGATCCTGTCAGGCTTCCCCACGAAAACGAACGGTAGAGATTGAAGCAAGGCCTTGTAAGCATTCGTCTGCCGTGCGATCTCGAACTCAGATCGAAAATCCACATCGATTAAAAGCCTCTCACCGTTTATAATCACGTCTATGTACTCATACTCACCTGAAAAATCACGAAGAATTAAAAAAAGAAAGTGGTAATAAAAGTAAACCGGTTTATAATTATAGAGATTGTACCGGCCGGTATAGAGCGAGTTTTATTTTTCTCCCATTTCGATTTACAGATCGATGAATCATAACCGATCGATGAGAGTCCATCAACGACAATCTTCCTCAATTCATCTTTTCTTTTAACTGATTTGTTCTTCTCCAGAATCTTCGCTGCAGCATCCAACAGATTCCTCTCGGTGATGCTCGCGCATGGTATCAAGCTCTATCGAAATCAAATTAGTTTCGGTTAGCAATTTCAAAGATCGAGAAGATAAAGAGGTTAAACGTTACCTTAAAATTCTCATAAGCGTCGTTGAGAGACTCGACGGAGCAATCGAATTCATCGTCGTCGGAGCTATCGTCGTTGTTGTTTCCGTTGAAGCAATTGCAGCGATTGCGTCCGTTTCTTCCTTGCTTCTCGTTGCTGCTCTCCTCCATGTAGTTTTGGACCATCTTCGCTAACACGACGGAGCTCGGCTCGAACTCGGAGACGACGGCGACTGAGTTTGAGCTGCGTAGGACGTTTGTGAAGGGGCGATCTAAGAGACGCTTGAGGCGAGACTTGAGCAGTGGTTTAGCTGAGTCTCTACTCGCCGGAAAATCGGTTTCAGTAGGTTGGATCTTCATCGGGAAAAGAAACGGTGTCGTTTAGATCAAAGCTAAGAGAAACTGTTTAGTTTCAAAATCTAAGAGACGGAAACGGAGTTTCTTAACGGCGACGGAAGATTCATTTTCTCAGGCGAGGGAACGGGTGATCTAACGTTTTGGGGAATTTATAGTAATAATTTGTTTTTTTTTTAATCTTCTGTTTCCGGTAAAGGGAGATTGGTTGATTATATAGGTGCAGAGAGATAGACGAAGCTGAAGAGTCCAAAGAAGAAAAGGTGTGACTAGACGCGATGATGCCACGTCATTTTTAATTACGTGATTATATCTTTTCCGTCAAACTACTATTACGTGATATAATGAGAATTTACTGTTTAACCCTTCCTAGTGGGGGGACGGTGTGGTTTGTTTTTTACTGATCTTTAGTAATTGCGGTAGATACTTTTTCGGGAAAAAACTGTCAGTAAGTAAAATCGTAATGATGGGATTACGATTTTATCCTCTCCAGTCTTCCACTACTGTGGCGTGGAATATCGGGCATATCCCTATCACAGTCATCAGGATTTTCGGGAAACTTTTTTTTACTACTGTAATTGATTAAGTTTTTAATATATTCACAGCTATTTTGCAGGGAAATTAAGATGACATTAAGCCAATATAAGCACGCCACGTAGCCAAAGCCGATCTTTTACTCCTTCCGTTCTTGAACTGCAAACATGAAAATGCTTTTAATAAGCTCTTTGGACGATCCACTAATGCCAAAATGAATAAAAGCTTGCAGCGTCCACTTTGCGTTTGTCAACATGGGAACTGAATGGTTATTTTTATTTTCTCTAAGATTTCTTATTTTTAAGAAAGGATTAAAAGTTAAAATGTGAAACGAGCAAGAAAGAGTTATTATTTTATATAAAATGATAGAGAGTCAAAATTTTGTAAACCTGAGTGGAAGATATGATGAGTTTCATTTCATCGAGGGTGTGATTATATGGTTGAATTAGGGCTAATATTGTAAAAGTGTTTTACTCTCATTTTTTATATTTTCTACTAATCATGTGAAAACTAGAACAAAATAGTACTCCATTTTACTTTAGTTTATTTTTGTCGTTTGTTATTTGAGAGAAAAAATGTATCTTCTTATTTGATGTTGAATTTTGTGTAGAGAATAGAAATAAATACAATATTGTATATATCTAATTTACATTTTTCTTCTCTTTCACTCTAGTTTTTTAAATCAAACTCTTACAGTTTTAAAACAAAATAACAAAATCCATTATCTCTAATAACTATAATTATTTGATGAAAATTAATTTTCCTTAAAAAACTAATATTATACAGGAGTAGAAACCAATATTTTAAAGACTGAATCAGCTTAATAACAATTATAACAAAGAAATAGTGAAATAGCTATGTAAAATGGGATATGTGATATTTTGTCACGAAAATGGACAATATGCTCTCTTTCTGCGAGTGATCGTAAAACACATGTTGTGTTCATTTATATGGTGTTCTTTTCCATAAAAAGTGAGAAAAATACATTATGTACATTTAAATAAATAATTCTAAATTAGCTATATTATAATATTCAATTATATATTTGCAAAATGTTATTTAGTTTGTAATATTGTCACTTGTAAATGTTTAGATTTTGTCAATAAAGTATAGTAGTGATATAACAAAATACATAAGAAAGTATAACAACAAAATAATTATCATGAGTTTCATGAGAGAAACCATGTATAATAATGGTAATCAATTTTTGACATAATCAGTAGAATTCATTTTCAAATCTTTCTGAAAATATTGTAACTGTTTTTGAATAATTTAGAAAAATATTCTAAACCTTTCAAAAGAATAATTAATTTAAAATTTTTCAAAAAAATATTTTTAATTCATCAAAAAAATATTGTTAATCTGTCAAAAATTCTAAACCCTTCAAAAACTATACCAAACCTTTCAAAAAACAATTTTTAACCATTTAAAATAATATTTTAAATTATTAAGAAATCAATTCAGAATCCTTCAAAAAATATGTATGATCCTACAAAAAATAATTTTGAAATTTTTAGAAATAGCTCAAAAATACTAATAAATAATATATAGGGGTTTCGTCATACTCCTTGTTGCTTGATTTCAATGGTACAATATGTGTATGTACATATATATAAGAACATGTTATAAAGTGTAAAATTAATATTATGTAGATTATTCATACCTTCTATAATTTTAACGAAGTAAATAACTATACATATATGACCACACTAGTTTTTATACAAACTAATCATGTTTATTTTTTATATTTTTGGATTAAAATGGGATATAGTCATCTTGTATACATTTTAGTTACTGACCATTGTAACATAAAAAAAAAACACAAAAAGACATATCTCTAACTCGAGCAGCCGATAAAAAAATTACTATAACGATCAACTACTGTACAGTCGAATACGATTAAGCTAAAATTCTACAATCCCTTACTAAGAAATTCAGAGAATCCAACATCGGTTTAAAATCAAGGGACAGCATAACTTCACATCCTCATAGTTTTACATTAAACAATCACACAAAGTTTACAAAAGTAAAAAAGCTAAAGGGGAAATTATATAGGATAAAAGGGTGAAACGAATAAAATTATTTTGGAGTAAAGATCGAGGACACGTGTAGGAATCGAGTGGAATATAAGGTAAAAGAAGAGAGGAGCCTTCCTTTGTACGTATGTTCGTAATTATCCCAACTGCTGGTGAGTTAAAGGACAACCTTTACTCCCCCTCTTGAGTCTTGTAGTACCATTTATTTATTTGTTTCCTTATCGCCAGCTATCACTGAAAACATTTGTATCACTATTTTATACCACTCGAAATTCTAACTAACCCTTCATATGCTATTCTATTTTAGTTTCCAACTATATTCCAATCTCATTTCTTTTTGGAAAACTATATTGCTATCTTTTGATGCCATAAACTCTTAACTAATTTACATCTATGAATATAAACACACATTGTTGGACTTTGCCTTTGAATTAATTATGTATATGATAGTTTGCGAAACTGAAATTGAAAAACTGATAATTATTAGACTCATTGGCAATAGATATTGTGGACATATTTAGCATTGAAAAGACGAAATAGTAAAAGAATATTTCCCGTTTTCTGTAAACTTTGTGTCTTTATCTTATTCATATGTCAAGTGTATACACAAGTATTTATACAGAGGTCATAGAGAGCACTAGGTTAAGCTATTAACTGTACATTCCATAAGTATATGAATAGAAGATCCAAGCTAAAGAACTTCACATCGGTTATTGCGAACTACTAGGAAGTGAGCCACCCATTGTTCATCTCAACATAAGAGATGAAACAGAGTTACAGAAGCTTATGAAAAGTTGAGAATCTTGTCCGATATGGAAGAGCAGTTTCTAAAGCAAAGATCAGAGCTGCATTGGCTCAAAGTAGGAGATCAAAACAATGCTTATTTCTTAAGACACTTTTGATTCACACAATGAGAAATATGATCATAGAAGTGGAGGATCAGAACGGAGTTACTCGAAAGGAGAAGAAATAAAAACAGAGGCTGAGAGATTTTTCAGAGAGTTTTTGGCTTACGAACTAGAGGATTACCAAGGTATGGCAGTGAATGAACTTCAGGATTTACTATCCATAGGACACCAAAATACACTTTTCTCACTTGGTTAAATATTTGGATACGAAATTAAAATATATTTCAAGTATGTTCGGATTTGTAAAAGACAGAATTTGATGTATGTTTCCGCACAACTGACATTTTTATGTTTAAATCGGACCGTTGGCACTCGTTGCTGTAAGAATCGACCAATTTCTCGGTGACTGTATGTAAACGAAATCTAATAAAAAGGTGTTTATGTATATTTTCATTTTTTTGAACTGACTATTTCCATCTTTTGTTAAGAAATTTGTTGTATTAAGTTGGAAATACTAACAAGAAAGAAAATGTAATGGATAATTATTTTTCATAAAAAATAATTGTTTTATCCTCAAATACACATCCTGGAAGCGTTGATTCATTTAGGTATTCAAAGCTTATCAATATAACTTTGATCAAGAGTTATAAGTGGTTTGGTTTGTGTGTCAGTCTTTGACTATGACTGTATAGACATAGTTCATTTATGTTTCTGAGTACTGCAGTCACTTGAACTAGTTTTCTTATACCAAAAGATCCCAAGAACTCTTTACCCTATAATGGAGCTCCTTACTGTGAGACAAGTTCCACAACAAACTAAACATCCAGCTATAACTTTAGTCACAAGAAGCAAAGATCCAAGAGGAAAAGACTAAATAAAAGCTTTATCACAGTAAAATCACATGATTTTTAGCCAAAGCTATGGACTGAAGAAGGAAAACAGGTTTACATCTGTGGTATGATGCAACATGGTGCTGAAAAACATTATTCATCATGGAAATTTTGGAACTCGTATTGTTTATAAATGGTTTAGTTTGTTTAAACATGATAAATGGTTTAGTTTGTTTAAACATGATACGGAAAAAAATAATTCTCGTACGAGTTGCCAATTTACTAGAAATAAGATTTATATCTATGACATGATGCAACAACAATATCCATATAGTGGAGATTTCGGAACACATTCTCCTCCATTATATTTCTTGCCCCTCTTTATACACTTAGTGAAGCATTTACGAGTTCCGGACTTTCCCACCACACACAAATTCTCATAGAGGCATTCTCCATGTTTACTTGTCTTACTCACTGCGCATATAAAACAAATAATCTTAAGATTATAATCTTATATACCATGTCCAAATAATAGTTCTTTTCTTTTGATAAACCAAAGTTCTTACACATCCATATAATGTTTATCACGATTCTATCATATGTAGTTCTTTTACAAAAAGGTAAGATGGTCTCTACTGCTTACAAAAGGTTCAAAGATAATAACGATATAACAAAATAAATAAAGAATTATTCCGTGAGAAGCATTATACCTGACTCGGCCAGAACGTTGTAGCTGGATGAAATTGCCAATGTCATTACCAAGAAAAGAGTGATTGAGATTTTGGTGATTTCCATTATAATTTCTTAGTTTTTCTATTATGTCGAGAAGAAAAGAACGATTTTCTATGATTTTTTTTTGTTGGTGAAGAGATCTATTTATATGATTTTTCACTCTCATATTTTTGAAACAAGTTTCAATTTACTATTGATTGTTTTTGACCAGATACGATTTTTCCATATTCACTGATATGTACGTTTTACATGTATCACATGATTCTTTAGAATTTAAAATGCATATTCATATAAATACAATATATAAACGGTCAAATATTTGATGTATTACTATATACCAATGTAACTGTTGTAATCTATTTAGCATTTTATATGATTCTAGTTAAATTTTTAACAATTCTTTTTTGGCTTTGTCTTCTCTTTGTGTGTGTTAACTTTGCTTTATGGTATCAAAAACAATGTATGTATGTACAAAATAAAATGATGGTAAACCATTTTACGAACAAAATACTGTTAAACTAAAAATGATATTTGACGAAAAAACTTGAAAAAGAAAATATAATCAAGATTTAATAATCAAAACAACAATTTTATATATAAGAATGAAACGGAAATATAATTAGAATAATTATTCTTTTCGAATAACACTGAGGAAAGTACACCTTCCAATTAAACAGATCTTAACCTAATTTTAATTGTTTTGATTTGAAGTAAATTAATTGATAGATTGTTTTGCTTTATTCAGATATATTCACATCTGGTCTATACAACTTTGATCAAGAGTAATGGATTTTGACTTAAGTCTCCATAAGCTTCTCAGTCATGAACATTTCTTAAATCACTCAGAAGAATATAAGAGAGGAGAGGAGAAGGATCTTTCACTTTGGAGATACAAGGGAGATAAGTTTAAGAACTTCTTTACAACGAATGCATGATCTAATCAGAGTAGAGGGAGAGCAGCAACCATGGTTAAAGGATATTTGGTTTTCGCATAGGACACCACAATACACTTTTTGACACTTGGTTAACGCTAAAAACAGATTGTCCACCGGCGATCGAATAGAAAGTTGGCAGCTGGGACAGTGATCAGACTGTGCTCTCTGTGGACTGTGGTCATCCTCAGGAAACCCGAAACCACCTTTTTTAGTGTAATTACTCATCAAGCATATGGCATTCGTGAGTGTTTGTATTCTTGGGGAGAAATTATACAATAATTTGGGAGGAGCTCATACCACTTCTGCATCACACGGACCTCAACTCGCTGCAATGTTTTGTTAAAAACTTTGGGACAGATAAAAAAGGAGAAGAAACTTAGCTAACAAAACTATCTGCAATTACAAAGCTTAGACTTTATTTTAGTCTGTCTTTTCTTAGACAAGTTATGACTCACATAGAACTTCTTAGCATAATTGTGGTTATTATTCTACGAATTTAGTTTAGGTAATCTGCGATCCAATTCCAAAACATTATTTTAATATGATTTTGGTACAAATTTTTTTTCCACATGACACTAAAAATCACCTCATTTTAGTGTAATAATATAATTTAATTTATACCAAATTTAATGTCACATTATCACCACACTAAAATACTATTTATTCCATTAAACACTATTTATTTATCTTATTAATAAAATATATAATTAAATAAATGATAAATAAATATATATATATATATATATATAATATTATAAAATAATTTTTAGTGTTAAGTTTGGTGTTGTGGTTAGAGAAAAAAATATTTTTAATGTTAACATAACACTAAAATAGTGTGTTTCTAATACTAAAATAGTATATCGGTTGGAAAAGCCTTTAGATTTTAGTATTTACTGCCTTCTCTCGTACAATTTAATCTTAATAAAATGGTATTTGGTTATCGAAAAAGAAATGAAAACTCATATTTAAATTAAATTGTAGATGATTTTAAGCATCTTGTAGTTTTTTTTTTTTGGTCAAAGCATCTTGTAGCTTTTATTCCAATACATTTCCTTCAATTTTTATTTTTGTACTTTGTGCTTTAACTCTCGCATACTTTTCTTCCTACAAATCCCACGATACCACCCCACCCAGATCGATAAGCAATCAACTTCCAAAACTCAAATTTTTTCATCTTTTCCCCATTCAGAACGAACCAAGCATCACCGTTGCCTCCGCCACTTGCTAAAATCAAGGTTTGATCTCACTATTATCCATCGATTTTCATTTCGACTGTTTCCATAATCCCGCAAACTAGAGATAATCTTTCGATCGTTAACACCCAAATCCGATCTGAGATTAAACATAATCTAACCTTCGATCTCGTGAAACCTCAAATCAAAACTGTATCTTTGGATAGATTCAAAAATTCTGATAATTATGTTTTTTTGTTTGTTATGTTGGAAAAAGTCAAGATGGGAGCATTCGCGTCGAGGTTTTGGTTCATGATGTTCCCTGCAAAAGAGTATAAGATTTGTGTTGTCGGTTTGGATAACGCCGGTAAAACGACGACGCTTTATAAGCTCCACTTGGGTGAAGTTGTCACCACTCATCCTACCGTTGGTAGCAACGTCGAAGAGCTTGTCTACAAAAACATCCGCTTTGAGGTTTCCCCTTAAACTTTCTTCCAATCAAATCAAATCATATCATTTCTATTTTTGAATTATACAGAGATATCCTGGTCCCATAGAATTGGTCCAGACTAGTTACGTGTTGTCTGGCTGGGACTCGAACCCGGCTTTTGCCCTCAAATCATTTCTAACACTTAAGTTGATTGCATTTTGTTTTTTCTTTTTTACAATTTTCTTGTCATTAGGTATGGGATCTTGGTGGGCAAGAAAGGCTGAGAACATCATGGGCAACTTATTACAGAGGAACAAACGCTGTAATCGTGGTTATCGATAGCACAGACAGAGCAAGAATCTCTTTAATGAAAGACGAGCTATCCAGGTTACTTGGACATGAGGATCTTCAGAACTCGGTGATACTTGTGTTTGCTAACAAACAGGATTTGAAAGATGCTATGAGCCCAGCTGAGATCACGGACGCGCTTAACCTTCATAGTATCAAGAACCATGATTGGCACATTCAAGCGAGTTGTGCAGTCACTGGAGAAGGATTGCATGATGGGCTTGGTTGGATTGCACAGAAAGTTACTGAGAAGCCTCCAAGTTAAAGAGGAAGTGTCTGATAATCACATAACTTTCACATTTTCTTTTTATGTTTCGTTACTTATTTTTATACAGTGTATTGATTCCACTCTTTTATGTAATGAGTTTCATCTATTTGGTTTACTTTAATTGAATCGTTATGTATTTATCATTAGATAGAAACACTCTGGTTATTTTATCTATGGAGTTATTAGATGATCACCATTTTTTTTATTTATAAGGAAAAACATACATTGCTTACTCTGTTTTTTTTCTGATGGAGAAATCGAGTAATTGTGTTACTTCTTCTCCCATACAGCAAAATCAGCACCTGAATAAGCTAAAACAAAATTTGGAGGAACGAGAGTTCCTAAATCCTGTTTTGGTCCAATCTTCATGATAACCTTTTCATCAATCATAGCCAAGTACAGCTCAGCCTCGGCCGCTTTGATCATAACAGAGCTTATATTACTAATACCATTTCTATTCCTGATCGCCACTAACTTTGAGATACTATCTTTTAGACCCCATTCCATGTAATGACTATAAAACTGCAAACAATAAACATCACGTCATGCATACTGGATAACTACACTAAGAACTGCAAATATACAAAAAAATGAAGCAAAAAAATGTGATTATTATCTTACCAAAACCAAGCCAAAACTTGATTTTGTGTAACCAAATAAAACCAAAAACAAGTTATCTAAAACCGAACCAATAAGCTAACTAATGTAATGAAATCTACTTACGATGCAAGGAGTGCCAGGATGAGTAAGAATATAAACGTATCCAAGCAAGACTTTATCCGAAGGAAAAGCCCATGAGTTTGGTCTGATAGTGTCATGGTTATCTACGAACGTCACCGCGTTTCCTGGCATGATTCCGATAAGACCAGGTGGTTTTCCCATAGAGTCTTTTAGTCTCCAAAGCTCACCTCCGACTGCAGATTGTAAGATCCCTTTGGTCGTGAAATCAAAAGCTGTCAAAACACCACCACCACCTTCCTCGATCCAGCGTTTAAGACCCGACCGATGGTCATCCTGATCATACTCCAGTTTGCCATCTCCTCCATACTTCATATCGTCCCATTTCTCACCAACCGCAAGATCCGGTGAAGTATTCTGCAATTAACAAGAGTTGGTGATAGTGTAGTAGAAACATGATATAATACTAACACAATACGATATTTCAAAACTATAAAACTCTCAACTTTTATCTACCAACAAAACTTAAGCAGCTTAAATCTGATCAGACTATGGTTAAGTTGTTTTTTTTGGTTAGGTGTTTTGTTTTGTCTTTTAAGAATTGTATTTTTTTTCTACGTTAAACTAATCTCTATTAATAAAACCAAACCTTCAAGGTTTAACACTAATCTCTAACAAATATATACTAGTCTAAGAAAAATTTAGTCTAAATCTTTGATCTCTTTCTAACGTGAACAAAGGTTATAACACCAAAAAAATTTGGTTCAAGCATTCTTTAGTTTGGTTCAGTTTTGGTTTTCAGTTTAGATATTTAGAATATAGAAATATGAAAAAACCATTTGATTATCTATCGGTTTGGTTTTGTATCTCTAATTCAGTTCGGTTCGTTTATTCGTTCCGGTTAATTTCCGAGTCTACCAAAACTGGTTAAGTAAAACACTCAAAACCTAGACTCTAACCATAACTTTGTATCAAAATCTCTAAACATATATCTAGAAGAGACCACAGAGAAATGTAAAAACAGACCTGAACATAAGATTTGGTGACGGAAGCTGCATAACCTCGAACAAAATCAAATCTCCAACCACTGAACCCAATTTCAGATTTGAGCCAGTTCATCCATTCCGACAGCTCTTTCTGAACCCTCGGGTTAAGGTGGTCGATGTCTGGCGCCGGTTTATAATCTTCCCCGGTGTCAGGGTTTCCCGTACCGTCAAAGTTAGTATCGCCACGACAGATGAAAGAAGGATCCCAATCCAAACGATCATCAGAAGTCCCACCTTCGAAATAACAATACCCACAGTGATCATCTTTCCTCTCAGCTGTTCTGTGGTTAATCACAATATCAGCCACGGATTTGATCCCTTTCTGTTTCAGTGCTGCGGTCAAAGACTTAAGGTCCGTCTCTGAACCGTACTTGGAGCTGTTTAGATCGTATAGCTTTCCAGGTAAGTACCCTAAGAGAATGAATGATATAAAGGTTTGTGTCAGAAAGAAAGATTTGGTGATAAAGTCAAGAAACGGTACGGACCTTCAGGAGAAACGGATTGAGAAGGAGGAGGAAGCCAGATATGAGTGATTCCAGAGTTGCTAAGGTCGTCGATGGAGTTGTGGAGAGAGTTGTAGAATCCTCCTTCTTTCATCCATGATTCCCATTTGAAACCCTGTCACAAAAGACCAAAACTCGAAATGAAATTTTTAGAGAGGTGTATAAAAGAGTGACTATGTGATGTAAATGCTCGCCTGGAAGAGTAAGGTGGAAACGGTGAAGGTTGGGAAGAAGACGAGGAGGAAAGAGAAGAGTAACTTTGGATTCAGACAAGTCATGTTGTTCTGTTGTGTGAATTTTTCTGCTTTTCATGCATTGGTGTTTTTATTGACACTAAAGAGCCGTTACCGTAAACGACACGGCCTTTTTCTATAAGGCAAATTATGCGCTCTCTGTTTCTTTTGTTCTCATTGATTAATGTATTTTGATTGGTTAACTTGTATGAAATGTATTTAACTTAATGAGAGAATCCAGTGGTATTCACATTGTGTATTTGATACCATTATTGGATAAGTATTTGTTTGATGCAATCTAAAATCTACCATATAGAAAGATATAAAAGATAATGATAGGAATTAGACAATCTCCAATGGGATATCTAAAGAGGTTCTATCTTATAGTTTTATCTAATTTGTTTGAAATTAAATCAAAAAGAAAAAAAAAATAGATAGATATGATTCTAAAAATGGAACTTTTGAAACCAATTCAAAAAGGTTCTATCTCATGCTGTCATTTTCTAATTAATTTATATTTGTAAGAGAAAAAAAAATTACATCCAATTTTTTTCTCTTTCTCTTTAAAGACTTAGAACTTTTAATTAATTCTATTACTGGAGAGATTAAAATTAAATAAATATCTAAATTTTTTAATTTGATTATTTTCAATTAAAAATGATTTAAAACTTTAAGATCATATCTAGGAGATGGTCTTGTAGAGACAAGGCTTATTCTTATGTTGTAGTTATCCAAATACATGGTCCTCTTATGATAATGACTTTTTGTCTCTTCTATATACTTGTGATTACAAAGAATGTTGTTTTTCCGGAATATCAGTCACCAGGTGTGACTCAATGCTTTGGCTATGTAACCTAGTGTGAACAGCATTGGTAAAATTGGGATAAGGAATTATCCTAGCTATCCATGCACATCACATTCTCTTTTATTTTTTAAGGTGACAGAGATTTAATCTCGAGTCTCTTTTCAGTTGATTTCTACGACTGTAATAATCTGAAACTCTGATTTTCATTTTCCACAAAAATGACAACCTTTTCGATGAGCTTGCTTTGGTAACTGAGGCGGGCTTCCAATGGTTTAACAAGTCCGTTTCTGCTTGTCATGCATTGTGACTGCATTCTCTGATGCTGGAATAGTAGTTTTGAACCAACTTTATGTTATCAACATGTGTTCTGATCCTTGGAATTACTTCCTAGATAGCCTAATCACTTTTGAAGATTCTCCCATGGATAAGATTTGATCAAGATTATTAAATTTATCATTCTGGCTGGAGTATTATCCACGCAAATGGATCTAAAATTGTCAAAAATGCATTTCAATTATAAAAAAAAAAAGCTAAATTGTATAATTCAAAATTTCAACATGTTCATATAAGCTTTTTTCCAAAACCTTGCAATAGGATAAATATGATCATAATGTTGATCTTTAAGAAACTACCACGTTATTAATCTACAACACGAAGTAAAACAAAACAAAGAAATGAGATTAATCTGTCTTAAACCGGAACCTTTTCCGGGAGCCTGGCATTTCCGGTTAGACTCAAACTGTCATAGTAATCAACAAGAACTTTCCAGCCTCCAGGGCACATGAATCCATCTGGTGGGCTTTCTTTGTTCTTTGCCAGTCCTCGCATCTATAAAACCAAACCAAATTCAAGCTTTTAATCAGACACTGAACACTCTATACTTGATTATATAATGTCTCAATTAGTCTGAGAAGTTGCAACTACCTTAGTGCCAGAGATGAACAAGAAGTCTTGAGCCCTCGATGGATCAAAGAAGGCCATCTTGCCTTGTGTCTTATCATACGCAGCAACCTAAAAACAGATTTAAACCACAAAATCAGAACTCAAAAGCCTAAATCTATGAACGAGATACCTAGGTAATAGGTTGAGTATGCATACCCTGAAAGGAAGAATGTTGAGTCGTTCAAGTCCAGGAGCCATGCTTAGTACTTTCTTCCCATGATCAGCATCATAGAGATCGCGTTTCTCCACAGGGTGACCCATTCCAGCTGGATCTCTACCCACAATGTAGAAGTTAGCACCAGCATTGATCCTAGCCTTTGCGTGCCACTGCACTTCCGTTGGACCAGCGTAAAGCATTGGAGATGGGAATATGGAAACCACAGTCGTCTCCGGATCAAGAACACCGTCCTCTAGCACCTATTAAAAGTCACCACAAAAACGTTTTCAGCATTACCTATTAAAGAACTAGACTGATTCAACACACACTAAAGAGACTTACCTTCTCGTGCTGCTTCATTCGCCAGCTTAGAGGAACATCATCCGCTTTTGTGAACCCACCAAGTGGATGAAGCAAAAGGATCGGGTTTTTGTAACCCATCTCAAGTAGTCTCCGGCGAGTGTCGGTCATGAGAAGGGCGTGTCCGTTGTGAACGGGGTTCCTGAGCTGGAACGCAAAGACAGCGTCTGCGCCACGCTTCTCCAGCTCTTTTCGGAGTTCGAATGGCGAAAGCCTGAAACGGTCAAGCCCGTCGTTGTACTTGACAGGTTCAAGAACCTCCAGGTCACCACCAATGAGCCAGTTTCCAGCATTGGTTATCGCCTCTTCCGCATAAGGCAAGCCTGGTGCGGTCGTGCCCCATGTTCTAGCTATTCTTTCCTCTTTCGGATGTTTGTATATCTCAATGCTGAGGACAAATATTTATCATAATATTATTAAATAACTATAATTTACCACAAATATTTACTAATAAAAAATATGTTATATGTAATTTGATGAAAATGAGAACATTAATCAGTGTTTTGAATATGAATATCATATTAATAATTAAATCATGTATGCATTATTAATTTTATTATAAAATTTATATATATGTATACGAACATATTTTAATTAATGTTTTTTTCGATTTATTCGATTTGATTGATTTATATAATAAACCATATAAATCATATTTATATACCGCGGTTTCTTAAATTAGCATATTTCTATATACTGCCATTTCTTAAATTAACATACATTGGTTTATTCCATACCACCAAATCTAAACTATTTTCACTATTTAAGTTTTGTTCGGTTTTAATTGGATCGGTTTTATCAAACTGAACATCTATAGCCTAGACTAGACGGATTTTGTAGAACCTTGCAGCAAACTATAAAGAAACTACTCAACGATTAACCAGAGGATGAACTTACTCGCTGAGGATAGCGATTGGATTATCATCAGAATCAACGAGCGCGACACGTGTAGATCCTCCGATTAGAGCTTTCTGTTCATCATCGATATCAAGAACGATAGGTACAGACATATTAACGACGGATCCGTCGTCAAGACGAAGCGAGTTGAAATGAAGAGTTTGAAGGAACTCAGATTCCCTCATAAACCCACGGAGAGGACTCGCCCAGCCTTCGCTCAACACGTGCATCCACTGTAGATCGATCGCCGTCAGCTTCACTCTCGGTAACTCCGCCGCCTCGTGCTTCTTCTCCCTTCGTCGCGGCTCAGGGACCACGAGCTCCACCAGCTTCCCGCCGTCTGGCTCGATCAGTGCAGATCGTACGCTGAGAGTGGTTTTTCCGGTGCGGGATCTTGAGTTGGAGGGGAATGAAACGGTGGTTGTTGCGGTTAGGGAATGGGATTTGGTGAGGGGGTGAGAGAGGAATGGAGTTGTTTTGGGGGAGACGGTGGACATGGAAGCCATTGAAGGATGTGGATTTGCTTTGTTTTAAGCTTTTGTCTTGTGGAGAACCGTAGGGAGAGAAAAAGACCAATCTGATTCAGTTTTGAAGTGGAAGAAGGAGAAGTGAGTATAGGCTTTTTAAAGACCAATCTGATTCAGTTCAAAGTGTCTTTCGCTAATGTACCTGGACACTTGTTATTTTCTCTTTAATTTTAAATTAACTAAGACCACGTTCAGATTATTATTTTTTTTGATCAACCAGACATAGCATTTATCTGTCCGTTTTGGCACGAGTTTTATAGAATTTAGAAAATTTAAATATATAGATTTTAAAATTATCTGGCAACCAAACAAATCAAGAACCTATTGAATTCAGTTTTTGAATAATTAGAATTTAAAAATTATTTAAGTGAAATACCTTATAATTTAATATTTTAACATACTTAGTATTTATTTAACTAATACTATAAATATTTTTGAATGTGCATTATGTTTTGTATATATATTTGATTTTAGTTTCAAATATTCAAAATATTTAGATATTATTGAAAATTTATGATTTCTTGTATTTTAATTCCAACTAATTTTTCCAGTCTTAGTATACACCATATAAAAATATTCTGTAAAATTTATGATTTCTTGTATTTGGTACGACAAACAATTTCTGTAAAAAAATTGTGTCAGGACCGATGCTATGTGCAGTAGACTTTAAGGAAGAATCAGTCAAGGTTCGACCTGCACTTTGCTGACCACCAACCAGGCACAACGGAAATTAGAATCACGGGAATGTATCATCACCAATATTCTTCTTTTTCTGTAATGAATGTTTCATTTATATAGTATTTCTGCATTTGAAAATTATGCCGGTTCAAGAAAAGGTGCCTCTATTGTGTAGTATGTTGTATTTGTTAATCACATACTCATTTTGGAGAGCTCATCACTTTTGACTTGACTGACAATGTTGACCTGAGATACGAGGAAACTACAGGTGCAAACCATATTTGATTCCCTGTTTCTTTTTTGACGGCGAAATCATGTCCATCCTTCACAACAAATAATTTAACCAAATAATATATTTAATACACGACAGTATGCTTCATATTGCTAAAAAAGCATGGACAATGTCGCCGCTGAGTCAGTTTATTGGTGGTTTAAGGAGTTCACATTCAACACGTGCAAATAAGAATTAAGAATGTCGACCTACCCTCGTATACACTCATGAGCCGTAAGCGACAATTGAGGAAATATTTAAAAAGTATCTAACATAGAAAAAAAAATGTTATGGACCAACAACAAAACTTGTTGGTTTTTTTAGAAAATTAAAAAAACAAAGCTACTTAAAAACACCGTCTCTAAATTCGTTCGTATCCATCCCTCTCCTTTTTTATGTCTTCCTCGATTATATCTTAAGAAGTTTTGACTTGAAATGCTTAAAGAAGCTTCACATTCTCAACATAGTTGAGATAGGTGTAGTAGAATCTTTTACCCTGAAAAGCTTGAAGCCCTTGGATTCCAACTTTTCTGATCCTCTTGCTCTCGACATTGTAGTAGATGACATAGGAAGGCACTCACTCTTTGGCAGCTCGGACTCGGAGAGAAGACGTTTTTATTTGTACCAATCATTCCAGCAATGCACATGGTCTCGTGCACATACTTCCACGAAGGTGGTAATTAATAAATATACATGCTTGCTCTTGTAACAAGACCATAATCCCTCAACATAAGCAAACCTAACTTGCCATTGTAGTTGACTGATGCATGGCTAAACTGAAAGTTTCCATGAGCTTCACAAAGCTGAGCTTCTGAGACCTCAAATCAACACAAACTACCACAAAACTGAAGGACGAACTGTTGGCTGCGCTGTGTAGTAAAGAACACCCCTGATGCATATCCACTAACGAGAAGAAGAATGTGGTGAATTTGGTGTGCAACATTCGACCAACCTTCATGACAATTTCTTGGTTCCTAATGTCCAAACTTGGTGCTCCCTAGAGGATCCACTTACACGCGAGCTTTCCATTGACAATGCCTTGAACTCTATTGTTATAGGATCATATCCAAGTAGCTTTCCACTCCATAACTCAACCTCGAGATCAAATTTCCTAAGGTCAAGCACTGTCCAGTGCTGGGGTTGCATATCACCAGGACAAAATAGTTCCTTTTTATTCCCGATCAAGAACATCTCATTCTCAGCAGTGCCGGCCCAAAGTCTATGGTGGCTTAAAGCACACACAAAAATGTAGCCTTCTAAAAAATTGACCAGAGCTTGTCTACGCAACCATATCTTCCCTAGAGATTCCGGTGAACTCTGGTCATCGATCGCGTAACTCGCCGAGACATAGTCAGATACGAGAAATTTTGCCGCTGTGGTTTCATGGCGGAGACACTTGAGTATGATCCCCTGAGCGTGATGAGTGAGGTTTCTCTCTGTTCTTATACAGAAACGTAAAAAAGACCGAGTGCGCATGATTGGTTAAAATGAAGGTGAATAATTAGAGAAAACGGAACAATATATTAAACTCACATTCTGCATGCAATGCTTAGTGTATGCTTCCGATGAGTTCGTATTGTGTATTACGATGGGTTGCTGTTGCTTTTTTTGTTGGACCAGAGGACTCCGTTTTGCACAAACA